TGGTCAAAAAAAAAAAAAAAAAAAAAAAAAAGGAAAAGTCCAGTTCTCCAAACCCCTCTGCACCTTATGAGCCATGCTTTAAATTGCAAAGGAGGGTGTAAGATGGCTCTGCAGGTAAAGGCACTCCTGCTGCCCAAGCCTGACAATCTGAGGTCCATCTCCCAGAACTGATTCTTCCAAGTTGTCCTCTGGCCTCCACATACTTGATGTAGCCCATCCCCCCCAAAATAAATGTGTTTAAATTCCAGTATCCTGAGACCTCTGTGTAAGTGTCTCTGAATCTCACTGTGCCTCAGTTTTCTCATCTGAAAAGTAGGGATAAGACAGGACATCAAGACGACTCAGCAAAGTTTAGTCTTTGAAACTCATAAGGTGGAAGGAGAGACTGGTGAGCTGTCCCCTGATTGCCACATGTGCACCAAAGCAGGTAAGTGCAAACACACAATTAAAAATGCAAATTAAGCTTGGCGTGGTGACACACATCTTTAATTCCAGCAATCACTAGAGAGCCTGAGGCAGGCAGATCTCTGTGAGTTAAAGGCTAGCCTGGTCTATATAGTTCCAGGCCAGCCAGGCTAAATAGACTTTGACTCAATTTTTTTTTCATATATATATATGTGTGTGTGTGCGTGTGTGTGTGTGTGTGTGCACACGCCACATGTGTAGGCTCCCAAGGAGGCCCTCTGCTGATTATGAGCTGCCTGACATAGATGCCTGACATAGAGGACCAACCCAGGTCCTCTGGAGCGGCAGCAAGCACATTCTTAGCGGCCATCTCTCTGGATCTGTAAAAATACATCTTTAAAAAAAGGAAGATGAGCCAAGCCTGACGGCGCCAGCCTTTAATCCCATCACTGTGGAGGCTGGCAGATCTCTGTGAAATCCAAGTCAGCCTGGTCTACATAGCAAGTTTCAGGCTAGCTGGGGCTACAGAGAGACTCTGTCAGAAAAAGACCAAAAAAAAGAGGCCAGTTGTAGTGGTGCATAATCCCAGCAGTCGGGAGGCAAAGACAGGCAGATCTCTGTGAGTTCAATGCTAGACTAGTCTACATAGTGTGATCCTCTCTCTAAAAAACAAAAGCTAGCGGGGCATGGTGGCACACGCCTTTAATCTCAGCACTCAGGAGGCAGAGGCAGGCAGATCTCTGTGAGTTCAAGGCCAGCCTGGTCTACGTAGTGACCCCAGGACAGCTGGGGCTACAGAGAGACCCTGTCTCAAAAAAGACCAAAAAACCTAAAAACTAAGATAAAAAAAGGAGGCAACATCCTTTACAGATGACAAACCGAGTTAAGACCAGAAACTCAGTGGAGCAAACCCTGAGGAGGGTCCATAGCCTGGAAGACAGATGTAAAGGAACTGCTCTGTTCTAGTTTGTTTCTCCATGCTGCGACAAAACACTGACCACTACCAACTTGGGGTGGAAAGGGTTTGTTTATTCAGCTTACATCTCCCGGGTCACAGTTCATCAGGGAACTCAGGGCAGGAACCTGGAGGCAGGAGCTGGAGCACAGGCCATGGAAGATCACTGCTTACTGACTTGCTCCCCTGGCTTCTGCTCAGCCTGCTTTCTTATGCAACACAGGCCCACCTGCCCAGGGGTGGCACCACCCACAGTGGGCCGGGCCCTCCCACATCACTCAACAATCAAGAAGGTGCCCCATGGACACGGCACAGGCCAGTCCAATGAAGGAAATTCCCCAATTGAGGCTCCCTCAACCCAGGTGTGTCAAGTTGACTCGAAAGCTATCCAGTACATGCTCAGAATGCAGCAGAGGGAGAATAAGGGAAAGAGAGGTGAGGGTTCAGGGAGCTTTATGGGCTGAGGCTGGAGAATAGTGGCAAAAGGTCCCAGGTACCAAGCTTAAGAAGAGAGATTTGGGGCTGGAGAGATGGCTCAGTGGTTCAGAGCACTGGCTGCCCTTGCAGAGGACCCAGGATCGATGCCCAGCACCCACATGGCAGCTAACTTCCATAACTCCAGTTCCAGGGAATCCAATGCCCTCTTCTGACCTCCGTAGGTGCTGCACACATGGGTGCACTTGCATACGTGCAGGCAATACACTCATACACACAAAATTAAAAAATATTTTTAAAATTTATTTATTTATTTATTTATTTATTTATTTATTTATTTATTTATTTTTGCTCTTTTTGAGACAGGGTCTCCTTGTAGCCCCAGCTGTCCTGGAACTCACTATGTAGACCAGGCTGGCCTTGAACTCACAGAGATCTACCTGCCTCTGCCTCCCAAGTGCTGGGACTACAGGCATGTGCCACCACGCCCGGCCAAAATAATTTTTTTTAAAAAAAAGCAGAGACTGGGTATATAGCTCAGTGGTAAAGCACTTGCCTAGCGCACACAAGACCATAGGTTCAATCCCCAGCCTCTCTCTCTCTCTCTCTCTCTCTCTCTCTCTCTCTCTCTCTGTTATAGAGGACTGAGATTTGCCTAAGGTCATCCAACAGCACAAGTCTCTTTCCGACCCCCTCAAGTATCGCAGGAGAAAACGTACAATACAAAGGACATTTTTGCTGGGTGCACTACCAGGCTGCCCAGGCACAGGCTTGGCAGGTGGGAAATGTGGGAGGTTTGGAAGGAAGTGGGAGGATCCCGGCGGTGCAGGGGCGAGTCGCGCTCCAATCTCGGAACAACTTCTTCCTCACTCTTACCCTGGGCGTTAGCGGTCCTTGGCGGAGGTTCCGGCCCTATTCAAACTCGGTTGGGTAAAGGAAAGCCCCGGTTGAAGACAGGTATGTGAGGCGTGGAAACTGGATACAGGCTTCTTTAGTGGGAAAAAGAAGGAGGCTCTGAGTGTCCTTATGTGGGTGGCGATGGGGGTGAGTGGTGAGAGGCAGCATTTAAATATTTGAGGAGCAATGGAGGAGAGAGGCCGCCAGGGTTAGAAGTCTGCCCTGGGTTGGTCCCCTCTGCAGGGCTGAGCAGCTGCCAGGCTCCTAGTCCTTGCAAACTGTAATATCCTCATATGTAGAACCCAAGTCTTAGGACTTCCAGAGCCACCAGGGAAGAGCTTACTGCTGTGTTTGAGATAGGATTTAAATATGTGAGCTGGGGAAGAGAGGAAATGGGTGGGGGCTGGAGGTGTAACTCATTGGTAGAGTGCACAAAGCCTGGGGCTTGATCCCCAGTGTTGTATAAACTGGGTGTAGTGGCACAAGCTTCTAGTCCCAGCACTTAGGAGGTAGAGATAAGTGTCATCCTTGGCTACATAGTGAGTTCAAGGCCAGCCTTGAGACCCTGTCTCAAAAGAAGAACAGATTACAGTGGAAAGGCGAGTCGCTCTGTGAGACAGTGAGAGGTGACGCCAGGGGGCCTCTCTATGCAGAGAGGGTCCTGACAGCTGGGGATGTGGTATGGGCCAGTCAAGGCAGGGAACAGAGCCATGTGGGCCAGGCACCCTGTTCTTTCTATGCAGAGCCTGCCCTCATACCTTCTTCCTGCTCCTGGGCCTCATGCAAGCCAGGCCAGTGATCTACCACCGAGCTACACCTCCAACCCAACTCATCTGATTGAAGAGGCCAAGACTGGCAAACTTGGTGTAAACTAAGGACACAGCTGCCCCACAGGCCATGGAGCCAAGACCTGTCATCAGACACAAGGAGAATGTGCCCCAAGGTCTGTGGCTGTCCTGAGGCCAGGCAGGAAGCTCAGTGGGCCTGGGCAGGCAGTGGCAGTAGAGTCCTCTCCAGTTACCCACCTAGGGCCTCTCTAGCTCTAGAGATTTGCCTCCCAAGATTGGTGCAGCCTGGGGCCCAGTGGAGGGACTTTGGGAGGGTGGGGTCCCAGGAGGGTGGGGCCTTTGGAGGGAGGGGGCCTCAGGGATGGAGTCTTAGGGGGGCTTGGCCTCTGGAGGGTGGAATACCTGTTGGGTGGGGCAATGTAGGCCCAGGTTCTAGGGAGGAAGTGATTCTGGGAGAGAGGGGGTCTCCTGTCTTGGTGAGTGAGGTCAGGAAAAGGGACCAAGAATGGGCCTGGCTGGTGCCCCTGTGCTGAGTGGGGATCCCCACCCAGTCTGCGTTAGGGATAGCGGGCTGCAAACCCCTCTGCTCTGGCTTCTAGAACTATAAGAAGATTGCTGAGCACAGTGTGGAAACAGCCGAAGAACAAATTCAGATTCTGCCACCCAAGTCAGGAACAGCTGGGGTCACTAGGGCAACTAGGGGTGCTGCTAAGGGGCTAGGGTAGGGACCTTTCACCTCTTTTCTCACCCAGTGTTTAGCTACATGACCATCAGATAAGTTGCTTTAGTGCCTGTCCAGGAAGGTGACACTTTTATGACCTCTTACCTGCCAGGCCCTGTGCAAAGCCCCAGTTGTTGCATCAGGGCTCAGGATCAGGTGGTAGGACCTTAGAGCCTGGGGAGGGGCTCCAAGCCTTGCCTCCGCTCCCCCAGAGCTACTGACTTTAGTTGTTACAGGTCAGAGGTCACCCTTCACTCCTTTTTAAAAAAATTTTTCATTTACTTTTATTTTACGTGTATGAGTGTTATGCCTGCATGTATGTAAGTGCACCCGTGTCGTGCAGTGCCCAAGGAGGGCAGAAGAGGATGTCAGATCCCCTGGAACTGAAGTTATAGATGGTTGTTAATGCCATGTGGGTGCTGGGATTTGAACATGGGTCCTCTGCAGGAGCAGACCGTGCTGAGCCATCTCTCCAGCCCTCTTCCCTTTTTTCACTTCTCTCTTTACTCTTCCTCAGCCCATTGCTTCCATCTCCACAGCTTGCCTGGATCTACCCTATACCCACCCAGCCATCTCTCCCTCAGTGTCTGTTCCCTTCCATGCTCTGTTCAACCAGGCCTCACGTCACCACCTGACTCCGGGACCCCAGAGGTTGCAGACACTGGTCCCCTCAGGGTTGCAGAGCTGAGGTCCTAACTCCCTCCCACCTGGAGCCCTAATCCCATCCCAGCTCTGAGACTTGGAGGCTCTGCTGGCCTCATATGAGAACTGGTCACCCATTTCCTTTCCCAGAGTATATATGTCTCTCCTACTTGTAGAGCATCGGAGGCCCTGGAAGAGTCTGGGCGTTGGAGGGAGCCAGTGGGTGCCTGTGTGCCAGGCCACCACCCTCTCCCCAAGAGCATCACCACGCCAGGAACCTCATCAAGTCCAGAGCAACCTGGCCAGCCCAAGTTCCCGCCTGGCCCTGAAAGACACCACTGGCCGGCTAGTTGGTTCAGGGCTCCGGCAGCAAAGTAACGTAGTTTCAGATGGGGAGGCCCCAACGAAAGGCTTGAGAGCCCACTGTACAGCAGAATAACCTGTGCTTCCAAGGGACCAGCAGGCCCCATCTGCGGAACAGCAGAGGGCCACGGACTCACCTGTCCCCTAGCCGGAAGCAGACACCCCTGGCTGCAGATACCCTGAGCTCAGATTTGAGGCTGTCTGGGCTTGGCACCTCTTGATGGATGTACATGGCTGGGCCCCAGGTCCCAGTGTGGCCTGGGAGGCTGGGCACCCAGACTTGTTGGGGAGCCCCTCACCTTAGAGGACCTGGCTGATTCTGCCCACAGCCAGCCTCTGGCCCCATCCCTGTCCGATGCTGTCCACTGGCTACTGGCCTCCATGCTACACCAGGAACATGAGACAGCCGGTCTTGGAAGTCAGACATTCTGGGAGGCCCCAGGCCCTGCACAGTGGGGCTCCTGCATTGACAGTAGCTGGGCACCCTCTGAGCAACCCCAGCCCGGCCAGCCTATTCTCCACAACTGGGATGAGCAAAAGAGAAGTCCCTGGGCCACAGGGAAAGTGCAAGTCTTCTGGAGACCCTAGAGATCCAGGCTGGACTCTCAGAGTCCCCAGCACACAAGCCTCTGCTACCCCAGGTCACTCTAGGGACATTGGATGACTGTTTCCCTGACTTAGAGCAAGAGGACCTTTCTGTTTGGTCCCTAAGGGCAAAGGAGAGGTGTGCCCCAGTCCCTTCATACCTCAGTGTCATTTAAGGGGCAGGCAGCAGAGAGGCCAGACTGGAATCTTCAGCCTTCCCCCAAGTCCTGCCTGAATGGGAAGGAGAGAGGGCCCTGAAGGAACAGGCCATTGGGAATAGAGAAGAGATAGCTTCTGGAAGGTCAGATGCAGCTCCAGCATGGACAGCTCCACAGGTAGAGGCCCCGTGAAGCTAGGTGGGGGCTCTAGGAAGGCGGGCTTGCTTGGAGTAGTCATGCCTACTCTTCGGCCTGAGAATCGTGTTTTGTCCTCTTGGTTCTGTAGAACAAGGCCCAAAGCATCATGACCTGGCAGCCTGGTGAGGCCCTGTTGTTGAGAGTGGGGTGTGGGGGATTGGGGTCACTCCAAGGACAGCTCCTCTCCTGGCTGCCTGAGCCATGGGACAAGGGCCTGATGGAGATAAAAGTCTGATGGCAGAGCATTGGCAGGATTTAAGTGGGACAGTACTATCTTCACACTGGTGGTTCTGGGAAATGAGGGGCCTCCTGGTCCCTAAGGACAAGGTCTTGCTGCTGGGTTTAGATTGGTGAGGACCACAAACTTCAACATAGTGGAGCAATTCTTGTGTCTCCAAGAGTCTCTTGCCTTGGGTTCCAAGTTCTTTGAGTCTATAAGCAGGGCTTCTGTTGTGGAAGGGGACATCAACCTCATGATTGCTGGAAAGTCCACAGGGATGGTGTCCTGGGGAGCTGAGATCTGGGTCCACACCACCCCCCCATCAGTCCTGGTCTGTCCTCAGCTGGAAGCTGCTGTCGAGATGTTTCAGAGCCTGGAAGCACTTGTCACAGAGGCAGCAAGCAGCTCAGAGCAGAAGGCAGCTGCCGTGTCAGGGCCTCAGAGCCTGGGCCCTGTGGCTGTGGGAGGCCCAGCTGAAGGTGGCATCAGGGAAACATGCAAAGGCCCTGCTGGCCTGGAGCTTCAGAGAGGTCAGGATTCGTCAATTTGGGGCTTGGGGAATGTTAGACTACTGTCTGGGAGGAGGCTGCATCTACAGTGGGGCCCAGGACGCATCAGCATCAGAAGCAGCTCTGCCCAAGTTCAAATCTAGCTTCTGCCACATTATTTTTTTTATTTAGTTTTTAAATTTTTACAAATTTTATTTTATGTGTATGAGTTATGCTTGCAGGTATGTAAGTGCACCTATGTCATGCAGTACCTGCAGAGGCCAGAAGAGGGCATCTGATTCCCTGGAACTGGAGCTACAGACCTTTACTAGCCGCCAAATCGGTGCTGGAAATCAAATCCAGGTCCTCTGCAAGAGCAGCTAAGACTCTTAGCCACTGGGCCAGCTCTCCAGCCGTGTTGTTGTTTTGAGACAGGTCTTCCTTGTAGCCCCAGCCAGCCTGGAACTCACTATACAAACTAGGCTGACCTCGATCTCATGCTTCTTTACACAGGATTCTTGAACTCAAGATCCTCCTGCCTCCACCACGAAAATGCTGAAATATAAGCGTATAAATCTATGCTCGGCTTAGTTCTTTTTTATTTTTATTTTTATTTTATGTGTATGAGCGTTATGCCTGCATGTGAGTACACCCATGTTGTGCAATGCCCAAGGAGGACAGAAGAGGCTGTCGGATCCCCTAGAACTGGAGTTACAGACAGTTGTTAGCTGCCATGTGGGTGCTGGGATTTGAACCTGGGTCTTCTGAAAGAACAATCAGTGTTCTTAACCACTGAGCCATCTCTCCAGCCCCTGCATCTTCTTTTTAAATAATATTTCTCTTTTGTTACATTTTACTTATTTTTAATTCATGTATATGCAAGTGCATCATGTGCATGCCGTGCCCATGGAGGCCAGAAGGCAGGCGGATCAGCTGGGACTACAGGGAGACCCTGTCTCAAAAAGACCAAATAAATAAATTTGTATTACACTTTAAAATTCGGGGGGGGGGGATGTTGCCCACATCTACAGCCTCATACATGTGGAGGTCAGAGGACAATTTGCAGGAGTCTGTTCTCTCCTTCACCATGTGGGACCTGGGTATGGAACTCAGGTCATCAGCCTTGGCTGCAAGCTCCTTCACCTAATGAGCCATTTTGTTGGCCTTGGGTCCACAAAGGCTCCTCTTCACCAGTGGTTTGCCTGTTTGAACTAGAAGGATATGTAGGTGTTCACCTTCCTTTGGGTATAGAATGGGGGTGGAAGTTTTTCTTCCCAAGGAAAGCCTTGCCTCTTTGGATTCATTCATTTATTCATCCCCAGGGAGGTAGGGTAGTCTAATGGTTAGGACCAGTTCTTTGCCATCTGCTCTCCTTGCTGCTCTCTTAGGAACTTCATTCCAGCTTCAGCTGACATCCCCCTGCCCATTATCTTTTGACACAGTGGGAGCACCGAGCTCTGCAACAGAAACTGGGGTTGTCCCACCCCGAGACTGCATCAGCCTTCCTGGCTTCAGGGGGAGGCCCATCCTTAGGAAGAAAAGTGGCCGTGGACCCCACCTGGAGACACAGGTGAGCCTAGACCTTGGACTGGGTAGTGTGGCCTGGGCAGCTGGTGGGCTGCTCCTCTACCCCTGCTCACTAGCTTCTCCCCTAGAGAACCAAGGTGAGACCAAGATCTGGACTGAAATAAGCCAGTTGTATCACTTACAAAAACTTAGAAACAGTGAGTATGTATGTCAGGGCCCAACCAGGGTGAACAGTTAGGTAACTGGTTACAATATGATTGTTTTATTTATTTATACTCTTTATTTTTTAATATTTGTTTTTATGTGTATGTGTGTATGCCTGCATGATTGTGTACCACATGTGTGCAAATTCCTACAGAGGCCAGAAGAGGGCATCAGATCCCCTAGAACTGGAGTTACAGGTGGTTGTGAGCCACCTGTAACTGGACACTGGGAACTGAAGCTGGGTCCTCTGAACTGCTGAGCCATCTCTCCAGCCCCTGAGGCAAGGGCTGAACCCCAAGCACTTGATTTCAGCTAATACAGTTAGCCAGCTTGCTCTGGGGACTTCCTGTCTCTTACTTCCTCATTCTGGGATTGCAGTCTGGTTCTCCTGATCTGAACTCTAGTGTTCCCACTTGTGTGGCAAGTGATTTACCTGCTCCCCAGCACTGCCTTTTAAAAATTATTACTGTTAGACTCTGGAGGCAAAGGCAGGCAGATCTTGGGGAGTTTGAGCCCAGCCTGGTCTACATAGTGAGTTCCAGGCCAGCTGAGGCTACAGGGAGACCCTGTCTCAAAAAGACCAAAAATAAAAAATAATAAAAATAAAAATTATTACTGTTAGGGGCTGGAGAAATGATTTGGTGGTTAAGACATAAAAAATATAAATGCAAAAATTTTTAATTACTGGGCGCTGGAGAGATGGCTCAGCAGTTAAGAGCACTGGCTGCTCTTGTAGAGGACCTGGGTTTGATTCCCAGGACCCACTTGGTGGCTAACAACTGTTTGTAACTCTAGCTTCAGGGGAATCTGACTCTCTCTTCTGACCTCTGGAGGTACTGCACAACACAGGCACACTTACATGTAGGCAATACATTCATACACACAAAATAAAAATAATTTTAAAAAAAAATTTAAGTTATTGAAAAAAAAACCTTTTAAAGAGAAAAATAAACCTTTTAAAGAGAAAAAAAATGAAGTTATTGTTGGGGCTGGAGAGATGGCTCAGCGGTTAAGAACACTGACTGTTCTTGCAGAAGACCTGGGTTCACATCCCAGCACCCACATGGCAGCTAACAACTGTCTGTAACTCCAGTTCCAGGGGATCCAACAGCCTCTTCTGTCCTCCACAGGCATTGCACGGCATGGGTGCACTTACCTACATGCAGGCAATACACGCATACACATAAAATAAAAATAATAAATAAAAAAATTTTCTTAAAAAGAGCACTGATTGCTCTAAAAAAATTTAAGTTATTGCTATTAGCTGGATGAGGTAACACACAGCTTTAATCCTAGCACTTCAAGGCAGAGGCAGTCAGATATATATGAGCTCAAGGCCAGCCTGGTCTAGATAGGGAGTTCTAGGCCAAGCAGGCCTACGTCGTAAGACCCTGTCTCCAAAAACCAAAAAATAAGATAAAATAAAAATTACTATGTGTGTGTGTGCATGCATGTGTGGATGTATGAGGAACAAACATGTATACATGAGTGTGTGGCAGAGAGAAGGCAACTTTTGGGAATTGGTTGTCTCCTTCCATGTTGGGGTCTAGGAACTGAGCTGATTTTGTCAGACACCCTTAACTGCTGAGCCATCTCTCCAGCCCCCATAGCATCCTTTTAATCTGTTGGCTCCTTTCCATTTTTTTATTTATTATTTTTATTGTATGTGTATGAGTGTATTGCCTCCATGTATGTAAGTGCACCCATGTTGTGCAATGCCCACCGAGGTCAGAAGAGGGCGCTGGATTCCCCTGGAACTGGAGTTATGGTTGGTTGTTAGCTGCCATATGGGTGCTGGGAATTGAGCCTGGGTCCTGTGCAAGAGCAACCAGTGCTCTTAACCTCTGAGCCATCTCTCCGGCCCCAAAGTTGTCTCCATTTTTAACCCTTACAGTGTTTTGGAGATTTTTCTTCTTTATTGAAGAGACCAGACTGTTTGCCAGTTTCCCACTGCCTACATTTTTGATTTCCAAACTCCATATTGATTTCTCCCAAAAACTTTTTTTAAATTTTATTTGTTATTTTTATTTTATGTGTATGCATGTATTGCCTGCATGTAGGTAAGTGCACCCATGTCGTGCAGTGCCTGCGGAGGACAGAAGAGGCTGTTGGATCTCCTGGAACTGGAGTTAAGGACAGTTGTTAGGGTCCTCAGATTCGAACGGAACTGAACCTGGGAACTCTGCGAGAGCAGCCACTGCTGAGCTATCTTCCCAGTCCCTCTCCCAAAAACTTTTAACACAGGAAGTGATCTAGTGACATGAGGATGAATAGTAACTAGTGGAGGGAGAATGAGGACCAGGGTGCCAGGCAAAGGGAACAGAGCATACAAAGACTCTGACGGGACATAAAGACTGTTGGTGGTGAACGCCAACAGTCCCAGCTGCTCAGGAGGCCGAGGCAGGATGGCTTGAGGTAGCAAGACGAGCTATGTTAAAAGGATGACCAACAACCAGGAGCACAGATGGAGCCACAGTGTTTTGAGATGGGTGAGAAAGGTGCAGAGGGTCAGGTTCCATGCGGAGGGGTTGGTGTTTTACTCTAAGAACGGAAGCTGAGCTGACTGGACTTGAGATGGGAGAAACATCACTCTGGTCATTGAGTCAGAACCCAACAGGATAGGGTCTGGCAAGGGTGGGTGTCGGAGGTCCTCCAGGCATCCAGAGGTGACAGCACCCTGAGCAGGTGGCATGCTCAGATCCTCATGGCTGCCCTGTTTCATAGATGAGAAACGGGTCAAAAAGGTGAAGGCCCAAGGCCTGGGAGGCACGTGTGGCAGGAGGCAGGTGGCTGCAGCTGCAGTCGGGGGCACGTTCCCTTTACTTTAGGGGCTTTAGGGCCTGGTAACAGTTTGTGCAAAGAAGAGCCCAGTGCCGGAGTCACCAGGCGCACTGTCAGGTGAGGACTCTACGGTTGTACCTTGGGATGGCGGGTGCAAATAAAGCAGCTCCAGGCCTCAGATGTGGCAAAGGTGACTCAGCTGGTCCTCTACCAGTAGAAGGAAGGTGAGCCAGTGCAGATACAGGGGTTGCCTACCCTCCAGACAGCACCCCTCTACTGGATTCCAGCAGACCCTAAGCTTCTCCTTCTGGGGGCTTCAGTGGAACTCAGGATTTCTTATAGGAGATGTTTGAGCTGAACTGGGCCTTTCTAGGAGGGAAAACTGCCAGGCCTAGAGTTTGGGAAGGCTCCCCAGGAGGGACAGGCTTTGCCTGGGCTGTGTCCCTGTCCCTGTGCGATGTTCCCTAGATAGGGAATAGTTCCTATAGGGAGTGCTCTGGGCCCCAGGCGTGGTGTGCACGGGTATCTCGGGGTCCCCGCCACACCTGGCTAGTCGTGGCGCGGGTCTGGCCACAGGCATCTCTGGCCGTGGCGGCGGGTACCCCGCAGGTTTTTCCCACCCGCTCGGGTCCCGTGTCTCTGTCCGCGCGTCTCTGGTGCTGAAAGTTTCTCTGCTACTGGAGCGTTGTCCAGCCGAACCCTGTCCCTTTTCCACCCGTGTACTTTTCTCAGGATGCGAGGTCCACTGGCCACTGAACCACGCGGGAAGAGTATGAAAACAGCAAAAGCTAGAATGTCTGCAAGTCGGTAACAAGGGAGTGCTGCCCCCCGGGGAGGCTAGATTACAGTCGGGAGACACAGAACTCAGTCTACAGCTCTTTATTCCAAGTCTCAGTGACCCAGTTCTCGCTCTAGCTCTAAGTCTGCTTCTAGCTCCAAATATTAAGAGAAGACTAGGATATTTATACCATGGGGGTAGTGGTAAAAGCTTTGGCTGATAGATATTCTGTGAGACATTCTATTTACATATGGAAGTGGATTTCTTCCACGCTGCTAGACTGCTGACTGCATGGAAAAATCACACAGGAAAGCATGGTATCTTTCAGAGCCAGAGGCCATGTTTGTGTTTAGAGCATTCGTGGCGGACACTTCAAAAGGAGAGTCAGGAAAGATGCCAGGAAGGCACCCTGCTATGAAAGGAGCCCCAGCACATGGTTTCCGAGCTGCATGAGCTGTCTGGAGGTGAAGAGACTTCTACTTTACATAACAGAGGTCCCCAACAAGCACTGACTCCTGCAAATTGTCCTCTGATGTCTGTACAGGCATCCTGGTGCATGATCACACAAACACACACACACACACACACGCACACACACACAAACACATACAAAGTAAATAAGTAAATAAATCTCATCTCGGGAGAATCCAACGTTTGATAACTGACCATGACCTGTTTCCTGTAGTGATTTTTAGCAAATGGCAGTAACTGTCAGCAGAGAAATCTTAAAAAACAGTGAGCAGGCACAATACACAGTATCATCAGAGGGCAATAAGGGATAGGAGCCATGCAAAACAAGGGATTGCTAAGCCAATAGATTACAAAGTTTTGAGAGTGTTAACACTGGTTTCAACATTTGATTCAATTACAAAGAAACAGTATCTTTCTTCCCAATATCATATAGTCCCCATGTCCGGTAGTTATTAAGTCCAATGTTCTTTTATTGTGAAGCACAGTTCTGGTGAGAGAGTTCATTTGCTGTTGGAGAAACCTCAGGCTATCAGTCACGAATGTCACTGCTTGTTGCAGTCTGTCGCCATAGCAACGCCTGCAGCATAGAGTGTAAGTTCGGTCTCTGCCAGCGGGGGGAGGAAGACCTTCTCTCTGCTAGCAGCTGTGTAGGAAAAAAAGCTTCTCACACCTGAAATGTAATAGCCAGGTGTTTGAATCCACTTAGATGAAAGTCAGTGAAATCTTTTTCTGTTCCTGGGTAGAGAAAGGTGGTAGCTGGTACTGCTGTCAGAAAAAATCTATTACTGGATGCACAAAAGAAACAGTTA